GTAAACTTCAGGTTCGGTTGATTACAACACCTTGAGCAGCGCAGCAACTTCCCTGTGTAGACAATAGGAGTCGCTTGATCGTCTTTAGCGTGGCAAAATGACATAGCAAAGGTAACTGGATATAAACCTTCTTGGTTACCGTGTGTACCCAATTCTTCGGTCCTCGCAGCTGGCTGTGTTTATCGATAAATCTTCGAGCGAAGCCGTTCGCCACCAATGCTTTTGTAATTAAGGTCAGATCATCGGCCAGACAGTCGGCAGATCAAATTCATCTGGCCCGACTAACTAGGGTTTTCACAAGTGTCTGCCTGTACCGCACTGGTGGGAAGCTGGTGAAGTGCAAGTACTGGCCGGACTAATTTGCTTTTCGATAAACGGACCTCATAACCAAGCCATCCTCCCTGCGGTTGATGAGGATGTCCAAATATGGTAGGCAATTACTCCGTTCTACTTCACATGTAACCCGAAAGTTCGCATGTGCACCGTTAAGGTGCTCTAGCAACTGTTCTGTTTGCTGCTCGGAAGAACAAAAAGCTAAGATACATCAATTTCTTGAGGCTTTGGCGATCGCGGAGGATAATTTACAACGCCCTATCTGTTGCAATGAGTAGTGATCGCCGTCTTCTTACTTTGTAGGACTAGTTAATACTAGTCCGAGACGATGCGCGGAATTAAGCGCGGATATCAGAAGGCAATGGGAGTCGGACACAGCGGACTGTATTCGATGGGCTACAACAAGAAGCGGACGGATGAAGCGAGACGAGGGCGTACACGTGAGCGCGGGAACTTACAAGGCAGTTGTGTGTCGAGCCGGTTGTAAGATTAAAACAAGAAGGAGTAACGTACAATCGGTCAACAAGTAAATTGTACATGAAAGATAAGAGTTATCTTTTTGGGCGCTACAGAGCTCCCCCCCTAGAAGGCTGAACATAGAAAGCCTTCGAAATCGAAAAGGAATGTTGAAACGAGGTTCGTAAGGCGAAATCGTGCCGAGTAAAAATGGGCTTGCGTTCGTGTAAATGGGGGTTCATCAGAAGTCGGAGTCCGCTGTGCCGTTTATGATTTGTTATTTATTGAATGCAGGGCAGGGTGCATTTCGGCGAGCCGTTGGAGCGGGCTTGTCGGACTACAAAAAAATGGCTAGTCCAGAAAAAGGCAGACAGGACCTCAACCTCCGCTGCTGCCAAACGGTGCGCTTGGGAGTGGTCTCTCCCCCCGCCCGCGCCAAAGCGACCCTCGTCCCACGAAGAAAACGACCATGGTCCCACGGAGAAGCGACCCTCGTCTCGCGGAGAAGCGATCCTCGTCCCGCGGAGAAGCGACCCTCGTCTCGCAGAGAAGCGATCCTCGTCCCGCGAAGAAGCATCCTCATCCCGCGGGAAGCGATCCTCGTCCTGCGGAGAAGCGACCAGTGTTCGCGTCAGGGTCCTCGAAAACATTCCTCGTGTGGGCCAGTCGATTGAAGGGGAGGGTTGGGGCATGTAAAGACGAGAAAATAGAAAAACACGCGCAGAAAACGCCAAAAAGAACAAACGAATGAGCTGCGTGTTTAAATATTTTTTGGTTTTTGAATATTTTTTTGAAAAAGGTTTTTCGGAGGTTTTTGATATTTTTGTTTGTTTTCAAAACGTTAATCGACCAAAAATGAGGCAAATATATACAATATCTACAAAGTTAAAAGTATTTACACTGTACATAGTCGGAGAAGCGAACGGGCTTACGTACCTCCCGACCACGGCGATTGGTCGTGGGAGGCGGCGGACTAGGTTCGGGTGATGTCGGGACTGCTGAAGCTTGCAGACCGTGATCGTGGTCTGGTTGGACTTCATTAGCATGTGGAAAACTGGTACGGTGAGTTGTGACGTCGCACGAGGCACTACTAGACGAAGTAGGCGAGGTAGTTACTTCCATAAAGGCGGGTTTTAGACGGTCGATGGTGACGACTTCGCGTCGACCACCGCGGTCAATAGTGTACGCCTTACTCGCACGATGCAGCACCTTGAAGGGTCCTATGTACGACGACTGAAGAGGCTGTCGAACACCGTCTGCGCGAAGAAGGACGTGGGAACACGTAGACAGCTTCTCGGGCACGTACACTGGTATCTTCTGCGATCGAGGAGCGGGTGGACGTAGCTCACGCATCTGGTGAGCCAATCGATCAGTGTAACTTCTGTAGTCAAAAGTGGAAGTACATGGAGCTGGTGCTACCAGCTGTCCGGGCAACCGCAGCGTGCAACCGTAGACTAGCTGCGCTGGTGTGGCGTCGAAGTCGGTTTTAACCGTGTTTCTTAAGCCTAGAAGAACGAGGGGAAGCGTTTCAGACCATGAAGGATCTGCGTGCGCACGTAGCGCTGCCTTCAACTGGCGGTGAAAACGCTCCACCATGCCGTTAGCGGCCGGATGATACGCCGTCGTCTGGACGTGGCGACAGCCTAAATCCTTAAGCAACATGGCAAATGTCGATGAGAAATGTGACCCTCGATCGGTGGTCACGATGGCGGGACAGCCGTATTGAGCTACCCAGCGCTCCATAAAAGCTTTCGCTACCGTTTCCGAGGAGCAATTTGGGATAGGAACGGCCTCAGGCCATCTAGTAAATCGATCGATGCAGGTCAGTAGATATACAGAGCCTTTGGAAGGCGGCAGAGGACCTACGAGGTCGACGTGCACGTGATGAAAACGTGCGTCTGGCGTCGGAAACGTGCCTAATGGGCTTCTCGTGTGCTTGTGCACCTTCGCGCGTTGACACGGAAGGCAAGCAGCTGCCCAGGTACGGACGTCCCGATTAACATTGCGCCAAACGAATCGTGCGGTTGCGAGTTTAACCGATGCACGAACGCCTGGATGAGACAAGCCGTGCAACGCGTCGAACACGGTCTGCCGAAACTCGCGTGGGACGACTGGGCGCGGCGTGCCCAGAGATAAATCGCAGAGTATAGTGCCGTCTGATGATGTCAGTGGAACGGGTCGTATGTCCAATGAGGGAGACCTGCGTAGTAGATCAACCTCAGGATCGTTGAGTTGTGCTGTGGCCATGGCTGCCAAGTCGATAGCAGTGCCGGCGTCAGCGGAGATAGCTTGAATGCGGGAAAGTGCATCGGCGACGGCGTTGTGCACACCTGAGACATGCCGTATATCGGTCGTAAACTGAGCGATGTAGTCAAGGTGGCGCGACTCTCTAGGAGAGTATCGGTCGGTAGTCGAGCCGAGCACGTAAGTCAGGGGTTTGTGGTCGGTGAAGACGGCAAAGGAGCGGCCTTCTAAGACGTGTCGAAAGTGACGTATCGCTAGATACACTGCTAGTAGTTCTCTACCGAACGTGCTGTAGCGAGATTCGGTAGGTTGTAGGCGTTTGGAGAAAAACGCTAAGGGCTGCCACGTGTCGGATACTCGTTGCTGCAAAACAGCGCCGACTGCCACGTCCGAGGCGTCCGTACTGAGGGACAGTGGGGCGGCCGGATCGTGATGCGCTACAGAAGCTATGTTGGCGATAGCCTCTTTCAGCGACTTAAAAGCAGCGCGTGCTGAGGCAGGAAATTCGAATTTCTTGAGTTTCCCTCGGAGAAGGTCCGTGAGGGGTTGCATCAGCGAGGCGCAGTTGGGTATAAATCGTCGGTAAAAGTTGACAAGTCCATCAAAACGCCTGAGCTGTTTGAAAGAATGAGGCTCGGGGTAGTCGATGATGGCTTGAATTTTATCCTGCAGTGGCACGACGCCTGCAGAGGAGATACGATGGCCGAGGAAGTTGACTGAATCGACACCAAACGAACACTTTTCTGCGTTGATCGTCACCCCGTGTTGAGATAAACGATCAAAAAGCGTTCGTAGATGGCGCATATGCTCTTCTCGTGAAGAGCTTGCGATTAATATGTCATCGAGATACGCGTAAGCGAAGTCTAAGCCGCGACAAACTTGGTCGATGAAGCGCTGAAAGGTTTGCGCGGCATTCTTTAGACCAAAAGGCATGCGCAGAAACTCGAACAAACCAAATGGAGTCGTCACGGCAGTTTTAGCGATGTCCGCTTCGGCTACCGGAATTTGGTTGTATGCGCGTACCAAGTCGATTTTGCTGAAGATACTTTTACCTGCCAGACTGGCGGTGAGATCCACTATGTGTGGGATCGGATAGCGATCGGGCGTGGTCACCGTATTCAAGGATCGGTAGTCGCCGCAAGGACGCCAGTCACCCATGACCTTCTTCGGGACCATGTGCAGAGGCGACGCCCATGGGCTGTTGGACGGTCTGACGATACCAAGTTGAAGCATGTGGTCAAATTCGGCTCGTGCTGCCCGTAGTTTGTCAGGAGCAAGCCGTCTTGGTCGTGCGCTAACTGGTTGACCGCGCGTAACTATGTGGTGAGCGACCTCTGTCGTGACTGGTGGAAGCTCTGCAGCCGGTCGAACCAGTCGCGGGTGTTCGGAGAGGAGGCTCAAGTAGTCGGACGGTGCGTCTGCGATCCGAAATACAGGGCTGATTATCGGGGCATCTGAAAGGACACCATCAACACCTAGTTTCGTACGATCGTCTAAAAGTCTGTGGCGACCAGCATCAACAAGCAACCCAAAATGTCGGAGGAAGTCGATACCGATAATTGCGAAGGGTACAGACGCAACCATGAAGACCCACTGAAAATCTCGGCGAAGATTGAGGTCTAGGTTCATCATGCGCTGACCGAATGAAGCTATCGGAGAACCGTTGGCCGCACGCAAATTGTACGTAGGCTTCGAGTGCTTGTCGCTAGCGGTCGCTGGGATGACGCTGACTTCCGCTCCCGTGTCGATGAGGAAGGTGATGGAAGAACGTCGATCCTTAACGTAAAACAGTCGGTTTGCTTGGTTATTGAATGATACGTTTGTAGTGCTAGTATGCGGGCTATTCGTTTTCCCTGGGTCGTGCCTAATGCAGGGAGCCCGACAACGTCTAGCTCTTCCACCGTATTGGCGGTGATACCAACATACTTCTTCGACGGGTTTGACATTATCTGACTGAGAACTTGTAAGGAAAATGTTGCGCTTTCGTGCCGAACGTGACGTACTCGGTGCAGGCACAGACGAGCCGCAATGAACGGTAGCCAAAACGTGGTCAGCATTTGACCGTGGCACACGCTGCTTCGAAGCCTTCATTGCTGCTATCCTGCTGCGAAGTAGCGCAATTTCCTCGTCTTTAGAGTCAGATCGGTCTAGCGACTGGGAACAAACATGAGATTCGGTTTTCATCGGTGAGAATACGTCACCGGAGTTACTGGTCGTCTGCTGCGGAAAACGTTCGAACGCAGCGTCTGCCTTGGTAGCTAAGTCTTTCAGGGGTGCATCTATAAACATGGACAGCATTACCGGCAATGGCTCTGGGAGACGTGCAAACCACAGCTCCTTTATCCCTTCTTCGCTCAAGAATAAGGGACCAGCGATGCGCTGAAGTTCGCGGAGCAATGCCGACGGCTTGCGATCTCCAAGCCTGAGACCATTGAGCTGCTCAAATCGAGTTCGTGCGCTGGGCCGTAACTCTTTCAAAATCGCTTGCTTCATCGTTTCATACTTTGCCTCATTCGATGGGCAGAGTAGAATGTCCTCAATCAGCGTCACTACCGACGGAGGAAGGCGTGGGACGAGCTGATTGTACCTTGGACGGTCCGCCGTTATGCCCTTATTTTCTAGTTCGATCTCGAATATCTTAAACCAAACTTCTGGACTGTGTTCCATGAAACTTGGAACAGCCAAAGTAAGCATGGTTACGCTGTGAAACGACTCAGATGCCACTCTCGAAATGTGAGTCGAAAGATAAAGAATGAACAAAATACGATAAAAGTACTAAAATTACGCAAGAAACAAATGAATACAGGTATATAATCGAGAAAAAGGAACGAACTCACCAAAAAAATACAAACGAGAAAAAAAGTTGAATTCGCGCGTGCGAATCGGGGTCACCAATTTGTAGGACTAGTTAATACTAGTCCGAGACGATGCGCGGAATTAAGCGCGGATATCAGAAGGCAATGGGAGTCGGACACAGCGGACTGTATTCGATGGGCTACAACAAGAAGCGGACGGATGAAGCGAGACGAGAGCGTACACGTGAGCGCGGGAACTTACAAGGCAGTTGTGTGTCGAGCCGGTTGTAAGATTAAAACAAGAAGGAGTAATGTACAATCGGTCAACAAGTAAATTGTACATGAAAGATAAGAGTTATCTTTTTGGGCGCTACAACTTCCTCTCCTGCGCATTTTCATCCCTATCGACCCGTTCCGGCTTCCCTTTTATTCCCCCCGTTTTCAATCCTCCAATTCCCGGTTCTTCCACATTTTGCTTTGATAGGCATTTAGTTTAGTTTCAAGCCACACGCAATCGCAGGGCGTCACTCAGGTCCAGTCAAACGGAGAACATAAGTTTATCTGCTACCAACTCTATCTTTCCTATGACTTGTATGCTTCAATTGGCGTACTTGGTTGCATATTGGGTAACAGACGGCACTTGCTCGAACACTGGAGACCCTATCATTCGATATCTGTTGTTTATCCGAAACTCGCCCGCAGAATTCGAGTTCTGTGATTACCCAGCGATCTCTTACGTGTGACCCAGGCGGTATTTGCCCATTGCGTTTATCCGGAGATGATGCAGCCCCAAATGACGGCGGGAGCATTGCTCTGAGCTCTCGGGCTGGATCTGTCCTGATCGACTGAATACCAGTGAACAGCCGGATGGGCGTTGTTAGATCGGCTGGCTCGTTCAAAGCAAAAAAGTCGCGCGGGGACATGCGGTGTCAGTTTGTCATTGTGGCATACGCGCACACAAACTGTAGCGCTGACTCGCTGAAAGACGATTTCTAGTACCAATTGAACGCGCTCCTTTGTTACAGAAAAAGTACGGATACTGTGGTGTTTGCTGGTGATTTGAACGTCCAAGTTAGAAAACTGTCCACTGATGAGCATCACTTGGGCGGCGAACACGGTGTGCAGTTACTACACTTAGGTGAAGATGCTCATCTCTTTCCCACGGGCACTAACTTCCGACAGAGCACCCAGAGAAGGGTGACGTGGCAGATACAAGCCTAGGACCAGGCATGGAGGCAAATCGACTACAGCGCGATCAGTTACCGCTAGAGAGGCTGCGTCCAAAACTGTCGCTAGACGTGAAGTACGTTTTGTGTGCGCGACCTTCACGTGCATCTCGGCGGACGTCAGCGACGCCGTGAGCGCATGGAGACCAGCTAAGTGGCGAACACAAGCGTTCTGAACGCGTATCAAATTACGCTGGCATCTGGATTGAGGTGCTCATTGAATACCGTTGAAGTCACTTGTCGCATACCCGCTAGACGTTAGTAGCAGCAGGCATGTCTTTATGTCTCAAATAAAATTCTCAACCTGGATATCGTATCTCTACACTGTCTCTTTAACTCCTCAAGGCTCACCGACGTGTTTTGATTCGGAACGAATACAATGAGACTCAGAAAGACCTCCTGGCAAAACTGCGTGCAAGTCTAAAGATAGACCGCGAAACCTAGTGGTGTCACCGTGCCTCGGAGATGGAGACAGCTGCTGCCCTTGGTAACCATCAAAAGTTATTTAGTCTGATACGAGAAACCGACAGCAGGAGACCTGGTGTTAGCGAGACCATACATGACGAGAGTGGACAGCCGATCCATAGCTTGTCAAAACGCTTGGACCGTTGGGCGCAACACTTAGAGAAACAATTTAATCAATCAGGGTTGTCAGCATATCTATGGGCCAATGATCGCCCTACTCCTTGGGTCATCCCGTTGGATACGCCCCCACGCGCAGTCGAACCTGAGGCATGCGGTTGAAATCGAACAAGGACGCTGAACCAGATGGACTGCATTCTGCCCTCTTCAAATTCAGGAGATCTGCTCTTTTGGACTACTTGTTAACTTATTAGTGAATCTGAGGGAACAGAAGACTGTCCCAACAAACTGCAGCCACTCAGTTATAGTCCCAATTTTCGAGGAAAGCTCCCGTTTAGAATGCGCCAGTCATAAAGGAATGTCTGGTCTCAATTACTTCTAAGTTACTTACCTCTGTCGTCCTCAATAAATTGACTGGCACCCGTGAAAGCCAGATATGTGCGAAACAAGGCGGGTTTTTGTCGAAATCGAGGCTGCATTAACCACATCTTCGCAACAGGTTAATTTTTGGAGTACTGCCATGTTTATTGGCGACCCACATTAGTCGTGTTCCTAGACACCAACGGGGCCTCTGATTTGGTTGAGAGAAAACTGCATACTGAGGATAGACACCGAGAAGATGGAAATCCGTGCTGCGCCATCGTAGGTGGATCGGGCACATGAGCAGAACCACGTCGCTGATTCCTGCGCCGTGGCAGCATATTGCACCCGCTCTACATCTTATCCGGGTGCGATACGCTCCTTATACCTGTATTCCGCAAAGTGGGCATCAAGGAACCTCTGAAATTCCGACACCGATTTCGCCTCGACTACTGTCTCAAGCAACTTGGCTCAATATTTCACCACTCGACGCTCGAAGCATAGAGGGTGAGCAATGCGCATTAAATCTGGTACCACTAGTCTGTACCGGTGTCCGCGTGTGCTGCTTGGTGTACAAACGTGTAGCAGCGGCCACAACACAGGAAAGTGGCCAAGGTGCAATAGCTGGTGCGTCAAAATAAGAGCAACTCGAAGCCGACGATATGAAAGGGTATACAGCCCTAGTCTCCTACATCGGTCCTCGTACGATACACCCCGTAAACTAAGGATGCGTTGGGTAGGGACACGTTGGACCAGTTCCAGTCTCTGCACCTCAACTACCGTGATCGAACAATAGGCGCGTGAGCCGTACTCAAGTACGTCTTATCATAAAAGAGAACAGGAGAGTGGCAATCTCTTCAGACCAAGTACAGAAGTTGCATCAAAGTGCCAAAAGCAGGCGCAGTCCCTTTCCGTACAGTCTTTCTTGTTGTCGACGGACTTCAGATCACAGCGTGACAGTACGCCTAGATGCTTTACAAAACTGGTGGGATGCAGCGGATGGCCGGTTAGGATGTAAGCACGCCCATTACTACCCGTCCCCAGGATCATAAACGAGGACTTGGTCGGGTTGACCGGTAGGTCAACTTATGCAGACAACCGGGATAGGCGGTTGAGATCCTGCTGAAAGACGTCATAGTTGTCGAGAGGATCAGTAACCCTCCAAATATACAAGTCATTTGCAAACAGTGCACAAGGCGACCGACGAGGCTAGGGTATTTAGTTTATGTGGATCAAGAAGAAAATGGGCCTCAACACAGTGCCTTGGGGTACACCGCTAGTGGAGGGGTACCAGTCCGTTAGGTGGTCATCCACCTGTACCTGCCATCTTCTCCCATTAAGGAAGTCACTGATGCACCGGTGCAGTGAGCCAGCACACCACACACACTCAACTTATGGAGAAAGAGCTCATAGTTCACCTTATGGAAAGCTTTACGGAAATCACGATAGTTGACATCCACTGATTTCCCCCAGTTCAACATTGCAACCATTTCTGTAGCAAAAACAGCAGGTTGGTAATGCAGGATCGGCCCTTTATGAAGCCGCGCTGTGCCGGCGTTAGATCTTTCGACTCCTGCAGCTGAAGAACCCTTCTCACAATCTTCTCGAGCATCGTCAAAACGGTCTTCTCAGGAAAGGTGTCATAAGAGTGCAGTCTTAACAGAGCCAGGGCTTACTGCAAGCTGTCGCTGCCTTTTAATATCCCCATCGGTGTGAAATAAGGTTGTCTGCTGTCACCTTTCCGCTTTAACTTCGCCACTGATGGAAACGGCGTTCGCCGGGCACGAGTTGCTCCTAGAGGACTGAATAATTGACTTGAAGTCTGTCGATGAAATTGCACTCATCTGTGACAGCTCCCGATTGTGCCAAGTTACAATGGATAAATTAGTTTTAAGTGTCAGCCGTTGCGGGCTATGCTTGTCGCAGTCGAAGTGCAAAGTCCTTCCCCAAGATTGGCAGGGATCCATTACTGCACTGACCCTTGGTGATGATCAGCTAGAAGTCATCGATAAATTTATGTATCTGGGCACCTGTAATAGCATGCTCGAGATTGAAGATGAGGTCACGAACCGTATAGCGAAAGCTCGAGGCGCTAGTTTTGACAATTTCCGCCACCTGTTGTACCGGCGTGACATCACTCTTGCTCTAAAGGGCAGTTTATAATGCAGCTGTCCGTTCAACCCTCCTATACGGTTGCGAAACATGGCCCATCAATTTAACAGACATAAAGAAGCTTGTTACGTTCGCCCATCACTGCCTTCGCAGCTTAACTCATGTCTGGTGGGAACACCGCGCGAGCATTGCGCGTAGTCAGCACGTCGCAACGAGACTGGAACACAACGTGGTGCGACGGTTTCCGTATCTTGTCGACCCATTGAGCTATACTGGGTGCGGCCAACGGGCTCCTTGAGAGCTACTCCTATCCGGTTGACCAATGGTTAGAGGTCAGACAAACTCAGCCTCCTTGTCCTCCAGGCCGCGAGTTTGAAATGGCATGACGTCCACTTCTGTAAAACCGAATCGTTGCAACATCCGCTGTCTTGCGAACAGGCTTTCGAATCAAACGCTTTGGTTGAGGACCCAAACCGTCTTCCTGTCTATGCCTGGGTGTCTCAATAGTATCTCTGCTCAAGCACAACCATGACTATTTCTTTTAATTTCAACCATAGCCTGCATCGGCCGTCGCGCAGTTTATCAAGTGTCACCTTATCTGTTGCATACAGCAAAACAAAGAAACGAAAATATGTTACTGCTGGCGCCTCCATTCTCTCCTTGCCACTAGTTTCTCATTTACCCCTCCCAACCCCATAATTTACTTTCCAGAATTCCCAGTTT